GGAAGGGAGGGGCCCTGGGGAGGGAGGGGCCCTGGGGAGGGAGGGGTCCTGGCGAGGGAGGGGCCCTGGGAAGGGAGGGGCCCTGGGAAGGGAGGGGCCCTGGCGAGGGAGGGGCCCTGGGGAGGGAGGGGCCCTGGGGAGGGAGGGGCCCTGGGAAGGGAGGGATAAGAGCCCTGGAGGAGTTTGGAGAGCACTGGAGGAGGTGGGGAGCACTGGAGGAGAGTAGGGAGCACTGGAAAGAGGGTGGGGAGCACTGGGAGGAGGGTGGGGAGCACTAGAGAGCACTGGAGGGTGGAGAGAACTGGAGGTGGAGAGCACTGGGAGGATGTTAGAGAGCACTGGGAGGAGGTGGAGAGCACTGGGAGGAGGTGGAGAGCACTGGGAGGAGGTGGAGAGCACTGGGAGGAGGGTGGGGAGCACTGGAGGGTGGAGAGCACTGGAGGGTGGAGAGCACTGGGAGGAGGGTGGAGAGCACTGGGAGGAGGGTGGAGAGCACTGGAGGGTGGAGAGCACTGGGAGGAGGTGGAGAGCACTGGGAGGAGGTGGAGAGCACTGGGAGGAGGGTGGAGAGCACTGGGAGGAGGTGGAGAGCACTGGGAGGAGGGTGGAGAGCACTGGGAGGAGGGTGGGGAGCACTGGGAGGAGGGTGGAGAGCACTGGGAGGAGGTGGAGAGCACTGGGAGGAGGGTGGAGAGCACTAGGAGGAGGGTGGAGAGCACTGGGAGGAGGTGGAGAGCACTGGGAGGAGGGTGGAGAGCACTGGGAGGAGGGTGGGGAGCACTGGAGGGTGGAGAGCACTGGGAGGAGGTGGAGAGCACTGGGAGGAGGTGGAGAGCACTGGGAGGAGGGTGGGGAGCACTGGGAGGGGAGCTAGAACCTAAGGCTGTCTGAACCATCCTCTGGTCCTTGCCCTGAGCCTTGGCTGCTGGGCTTCCTGTGTTTGTGGGTCTGCTGCCTGGTGTGTTAGGGTGCTCTGTGTTCTGGGGTCTCTCCTTACCTGGGGTGGGAGGTGAGGCCTGTTGTGTTGGGGTGCTCTGTGTGTGTTCTGGGGTCTCTCCTTACCTGATGTGGGAGGTAAGGCCTGGTGTGTTGGGGTGCTCTGTGTTCTGGGGTCTCTCCTTACTTGGGGTGGGAGGTGAGGCCTGGTGTGTTGGGGTGCTCTGTGTTCTGGGGTCTCTCCTTACCTGGTGTGGGAGGTGAGGCCTGGCGTGTTGGGGTGCTGTGTGTGTTCTGGGGTCTCCTTCCCTGGCTTGGGAGGTGAGGCCTGGCGTGTGTGTTCTGGGTCTCTCCTTCCCTGGCATGGGAGGTGAGGGTGGCGGCTCAGGCAGGTGCGTTCTGGGGAGGGCAGTCTGGAGGAAGTGTCTGCTGACCTCTGGCCAGCCTTCCCCTGCCCTCCGCCCTCCCGCTGACTGTGGTCCAGGGTCGGCGTCCATCCAGGAGCTGCGCTTGGAGCTGGCTTCCCAGCAAGGAGAGGCCTGGGCCTGCCGCGGGCCAGGCCCCGCAGGTCTGGAGAGGCCAAAGTGTGGAACCTAGACCTGGGGCTGCGTCTGGAGAGCACAGGGCCCGGCGAGCACAATGGCTTAGGGTCAGTTCCCTGCCTCCCTGTGTGATTGGGGCCTCTCCCCAGCTCTGTGCCTCAGTTTCCTCAGCTGTAGGCTGTTGGAGCTGGCCTGGGCTGTGCGCCCTCCGGCCTCTGCCCCGGTCCTGGCTCCCCGGTGGGGGTCTTGGGGGCTGGCGGCCAGGGGACCCCGGCTGGCTCAGGGCCACTCCCTTCCTGCCCTGCCCCGCCCTGCCCCGAGTGCTGTCTTGGGGCAGCAGGTGCCCTAGGGCCGCTGCCCCCCACGTGATGCCGGGCGCTATAAATAGCTGGGCAGGCGCCGGTCCTGAGCCAGCGGCCGGCGGATGGAAGCCTGGAAGCCGCTGCTCAGCTGCTCAGCTGCCCGCGGTCGTGCGTGGTGAGCGGGCTGGGCGCGGGTGGGGGGCACAGCGGGCCCCCATCTCCTCCGGGACGGTGACCTGGGATCCAGCCCCGCCCCGGGGAGGCGGTGCCCTGGCTGGCTACTGCGGGGAGCGGGTGTGCCCTCCCTGCTCCCCAGACCCCAGGGTTCCAGCCTGGGACACCCCAGCCCACCCATCCCTGCCTGCCCAGCGGGCAGCCTTCTCTGCCCCGGACCCCACCTCCACTGCTGGGTCTGGGTACCCAGGACCCCCTGCAGCCCACCAGACTCAAACCCCTTCACCAGATCTGGTCGGCCCGAGGGCAGGTCCCACGGGGAGCCGTCTCCTGAGCTCAACCTGCCTCTGCTTCCCTTACCCAGGTTGCAAAAACCCACTTGAGCCGAGGGCCTAGTTTGGCCTGCCCAGCAGACAGGTGGGCCTCCCTTAAAGCATTTTGAAAAGAGAGCAGTTCAGGGAACAGCACTGGACCTGGGGCTGTGGGCTGGACTCCGTGGAAGGGGAGGACCTGGGGGAGGGGCTGGCCCACATGGAGATGAGGGCGGTGGGCGTGGTGGCCTGGCTCTGGAAAGTGGGGCTGGGTGAACTGCACCGGCTCAGTAGGCAGAGGCCTCAGCCACAGGGAGAGCTCACCTGGCCCTGCTTCGCCCACCTCTGGAGGCACTAGGATTGGAGGATGGATGGCCAGGTAGACTGTGGCTGCCCACATGGGACTATGTGTTGGGGGCCCCCATGTCGGCTGGGATGGCTCTCCCTCTCCCCTTCCTCGGGGACTTCGCAGAAGGGCGTGGACAGGAGGGGCTTCTAGGGGCAGTGTGTGGGGCCTGGCTGTTTGCTGCTTTGGCAGAGCCCAGGCTGCTGGGAAATGGGGTGTGTGGTAAGATGGTGGTGCGGCCCCGTCCTACCCGCCTGGGGTCCCTGGCTCGTGCTGGTCAGGCTCTGCTCTGGGCCTTTGGTCCAGCCCTGTGCGCTTTGAGTGTGTGCACAGGTGCTCTTCTGTCCTGGGGATCTGTCCAGAGACAGCAGAGCCACACTGTGGCAGATAGGGGGGTCCGCCTCTTTGGAGGCTCCTAGAATCTCATGGCTTCCTTGGGCTTTCTCCCTTTATTCTCTGTACACATGAGGTGTGCGTGCTCACACGGGACCTTGCCTTCCCAGGGGCCCTGGGTGTTTGTGTAGGCAGCTCTCCTCACGAATGCTCAGGTGGTGAGCTTGCCCGCCTGCGCTGGAGTGCGGTGCCTTACCTCCCGGTGGAGGTCAGGGAGTGAGGGGCTCAGCCCGAGGGGCTCGTGCCCACAGCTGGATGCAGAGGTCAGCGTCCTAAGCTGGGCCCAGTCTGCAGCCAGGCTGAAGTTCCAAGGGCCTGGTCTGCCTGGTGGGCTGCTGGAGAAGGGGGCAGGGGTAGAGGTAAGAGGTGGTGGGCTGGGGAGGGACTCTGCCAGGTGGGGGCAGATCGAGGCCGGGGCTGTGGGTAGACTGAATCCGGTGGCTGGAGGCTTGCTGACCACCGGATTACGGCTGGAGGAACTGAGAAGGCATCTTGTTTGGCTCCTCATTGTGCCGATGGGGACAGGCCCAGAGACCCCTGGGAGGGGCCTGGGTGCCCCTTGCCTGGGGCCTTTGGAGCTGTTGGCCCCCGAGGGGAAGAGAGGCAGGATGGGGTGCTCCTGTGGCCCTGACCAGCTTCCCCAGAGCCCTGTCACTGTGTGACCCCACCCTTGGCCACCTTGGCATGTTCCTGGCAGCTGGCCCTTGTCCTATAGTGTGCCCGCCTGGCAGCTCCCGGAGGACAGGACGGCTTGTTTACCTCTCCAGCCCAGCCAGCCCAAGCGAATGGTGGCTGGGGGCGGAGACCACAGAAAGACCCAGGCAGCTAGGACTGCTTGTGTCTGTGAGCGGATCTCTCAACCCTTGTCCCTCTCACACGGCACCCCCAGAACACTCCTTATCCTGAGCTCCCTTTCCCAAGGTCAGCTGCTTCTGCTGACCCCTGCTCAGAAACCCCAAGACAAGGGCCACTGCTCTTGGGGGGACTGGGGTGGGGGAGAGTGCTACTGTCATGGCCTGTGGGGTAAAGGCTAGGCTAAGAGGATTGGTGGCTTCTGTTGCCTGCTTGTTGGGGTTCAGAATGCTTCTGGGGTGTGTGTCCCTGACACCGTTTCCTTCCTGCTATCTAGTGGCTGAAATGGCTAATCTACCAACCCCAGGTCCCGGGAAGGCCAGGCAGGCGCTGTGCTCCTTGTGTTCACAGATGGGAAACTGCGTTCCAAGAAGGGACACTCATTCTCTCTCTCCTCGCCCCAGGCAGTGCCAGCGATTGATGGCGAGACCTTGGTGGGCCGGCTCTGAGTACTGCCGCTCCCAACATTGCAGCCGCGCCCGGCGCTGAGAAGAACCGGGTCCCTGGGCCCTCACCACTGCCCCGGCCTGCCAATGGCTCCTGCTGCCAGCCTGGGGACCAGCTCCTCCTCCGGATCCCGCTGACCCCCTCCGGGACGTGCCCTACCCCAATGGGGTAACGCGCTGGGGGGCCCCCCACATGCCAGAGGCCACCTGCCACGGCTGCTACCTGCGACCCTGTCCCGGGGCTGCTGGATCCCGTGTTCCTTTTGGCCCTCGGTGACTTGGGACGCAGCTTTGGACAAAGGGGGCTGTGTGGCCCACGGATGCATCCACAGAGACCCTGCCACGCTCCACACTGCCGGCAGCCAGACTCACTTTGGAGTTTTTGGATTCTTTTAAGTCTTTTAAGTCCCCCACCCCACCGAGGCTTTTGTTTAGTCTTTGTTATTCCTTTAACATTTTACCCTTTTATAATTACCAGCTCTGACACAGGAGCTTGAAACTGCCCAGTTTACCGTGGGGCTGTTTTGTTCATTTTCCTGTTTGATTTAGGGTTTTTTTTTTAAAATAGTCTGAGCACAGGGAAGCTTCTTCTCTCTCTCCCAGGAATTTGCACAATATTTGTGTGTGTGGGGGTGGGGGTGGGGGGATGAGATTTTAAAAAGAGTTATTTTTGTTTTATCTTTGGACAAGCACGGGGATCTCATTTGACACAGTTTGGGGGGTGGGAGGAAGTTTGCAGGTCTGGGTCCCGGGCCTCTCTGCAGCCCCCAGCTGGCCTGCCCCCCGCCTGCCTGGAGGAGGCATGGCCCGCATGAACCGCCCGGCCCCGGTGGAGGTGAGCTACAGGAACATGCGCTTCCTTATCACGCACAACCCCACCAACGCCACGCTCAGCACCTTCATTGAGGTGAGTCCAGGGCATGCCACGCCGGGTTCCTGTCACAGGACATGGGTGCTTGGGTATGGGGCACTGGGGGCCGGTTGGGTTCCTAGAGAGCACAGGGCGGGCCAGGACTGAGCAGTAGTCTGTGGGCTGTGTGAACCCAGGCAGTGGAGAGCTGAGGGTCTTGAGCGATGAGATACTCCCTAGGCTGTGGTGGTAGCCTCTGCAAAGGCTGAGCAGAAAGGGGGCCCTGGTGAGGCACGCTGCTGCCCGGGAAACAGCCCATAGGCAGATGGGGAGAAAAGGTCAGCCGCACAGCCGGCCAGGCTGGGAGAGGCCCTCGGGCTCCGGGAGGCGTTGGGCTAGGACAGGCAGGCAGTGGCTCTGGGCTCAGATGTCAGAGTGAGGACCAGCCAAGAGTCAGGCCTGGACGTGGGAGGGGGCAATGGCTGCCACTGGGAAGAGCGGCAGCCTGGAGAGGCAAGGGGCGCCCCTGCCTGCTGCCCAAGGCCCCACAAATGTGAGCAGGTGTGTTTGTGGACCCTGAGCTGGCACGGCGTCAGGTGCTGTCAGCGAGGCCACGTGGAGTGACCGCCGTGGGGCTCCCTCCTGCTGCAGATAGAGGACTGCTTACAGAGCCTGGGCTGTGCAGGGCACCCAGGGGCTGTGCACAGGGCCACCCGTGGAGCTTGTCACCTTCAAAACGGAAAACAAGCTCGATGGGGCAGAGGTGTCCTGCCCTTGGGGAGCCGGGACCCTGGCCAGTGAGCTGAGGCCCTGCAGGGAGCAAAGGACTGCTCCTCCCACGGACACCCTGCAGATCCCAGCCAGCACTGTGCGTGACCACACCAGAACTCGGAGTGTAACAAGGATGAAGGCTCAGTATATGACAGGCCAGGGACCAGGATAAGGAGGGCTCAGTGTGTGAGCAGATCAGGGCTCAGTGTGAGCCGGGTCAGGGTTCAGTGTGAGCCGGGTCAGAAGTCAGTGTGTGAGCAGGGTCAGGGGTCAGTGTGAGCAGGGTCAGGGGTCAGTGTGAGCAGGGTCAGGACTCAGTGTGAGCAGGGTCAGGACTTAGTGTGAGCAGGGTCAGGGCTCAGTGTGTGCAGGGTCAGGACTTAGTGTGAGCAGGATCAGGACTCAGTGTGTGCAGGGTCAGGACTTAGTGTGAGCAGGATCAGGACTCAGTGTGTGCAGGGTCAGGACTTAGTGTGAGCAGATCAGGGCTCAGTGTGAGCAGGGTCAGGGCTCAGTGTGAGCAGGGTCAGGGCTCAGTGTGAGCAGGGTCAGGGCTCAGTGTGAGCAGGGTCAGGGC